TTTTGAGACTGTGTCTCGCTCTGTTGCCCAGGCTAGAGTGCAGTGACACGATCTCAGCTCACTGCATCCTCTGCCTCCCGGGTTCAAGCGATTCTCCTGCCTCAGCCTCATGAGTAGCTGGGATTGCAGGTGCTTGCCACCATGCCCAGCTAAATTTTATATTTTTAGTATAGATGGGGTTTTACCATATTGGCCAGCTTGGTCTTGAACTCCTGACCTGGTAATTTGCCTGCCTCGGCCTCCCAAAGTGCTGGGATTACAAACATGAGTCACTGCACCTGGCCTTCTGTTTTTTTTTTTTGAGACGAAGTCTTGCTCTGTTGCCAGGCTGGAGTGCAGTGGTACAGTCTTGACTCACTGCGACCTCTGCCTCTCGGGTTCAAGTGATTCTCCTGCCTCAGCCTCCCAAGTAGCTGGGACTACAGGCGTGTGCCACCACACCCGACTAAGTGTTTGTATTTTCAACAGATACAGGGTTTCATCATGTTAGCTAGGATGGTTTTCATCTCCTGAACTCATGATCCACCTGCCTCGGGCTCCCAAAGTGCCGGGATTACAGGAGTGAGCCATTGCACCGGCTGGGAGTTTTTAACTTGTATGCCACTCATCCTTCATAGGAGTGTGCTACATTCTGATCAGGATATAAGATATATTTTAGGATTCATATTGTAAATCACAGTGTTAATTCATAGTGGTATCTGTCAAGTGGAGTGTTTAGCTGACTGAAAGCCACCTGATGCACTCTTTGGAGATAAAATTTGCTCCAGCTAAGAGATATTAATAGGATCTAATGCCAAGTTGGTACCAAAGACAGTGTCTATTGGAACAAAGGGTAAACTTGGACTTGTGGAGAGCCTAGACAGAACAGTAAACTTCTTTGTTGTAACAGACCAAAGGGTGACCAAATAGAAAGTGTGATGATTAGAAAGCCTTTTCAAGTTTCCAAATTGAGTTTTTTACAACCAGTATTTGCATTTTAATAATTCCTTTTGGTGTCCTGCTAAAAATTTTGTATTTAGAAGTATACCAGTAACTCAAAAACTATTGTACAACATTATCTTAAATGTTAAGTTATCTCACACCTCATACTGCTTTTGTCACCCCTTTGTCCTACTTTAAACTGTAGGGTCATCCCCAGAGCAACACCTATAGCACCTATAGGGCAGTTCCTATCCAGAGAAAGTATTTGTTTTTGTAAACATTGAATAAGTGCTTTAAACTCTTGAGGTAAAACTACAGTGGGGTTGTTAAAGGTATTGTGTCTAGAGCAATAATTTCTTCATGTAGCCTGATATGCAGTGACTTGCTTCTCTAGCCATCTGGCATCTGAAGGTCCTGCCTGTCCTCTTGATTCCCAGTATTTTTTTTTTTTCTTTTTTTTCCTATGACACAGCCCCAGGAGGTCCTAAAAACATGTGCCCTCCCTTATGCATGGATTCTTATGCATGGCATTTGTGGACTGGGAAATCATAACTACTTTCTGAGGGAATTACCTGCTTTGGGATTTCTCTTAGGTTTTGCTGAGGATTTCTATGTGGCAGTTCTGACAGAAGTAAGAAACAACATTTGTGCTTTATTTGCTGAGTCTTCTGAATGGTGGTTGTTTCACAAATTATAGAAATAAAAATATTCTCATTCCATTGTAAAAGTCTGAATTCAAGGAGGGACAGGTAATATGATCCGGGTTTTCCAGGATGGAAAAACTGGAGGTACAGAAAGATTAAAGAGCTGTCTAGAGATCACACTGCAAGACACTGGGAATTGGATCTGGGCCTTCTAACTCATTTGTAGAGTCTGATATATTTCAGGAAGATGATACCGAAGGTCTTCTTTTCAGTCTGTCTTTTTCTTGGCATGTAAATTCAAGGTACAATGCGAGGCCTTCAGTGACTGGATGAAACATTGTACTGAGAAAATTGAAGGCCCTTGCCAAACATGTACAATAATGGCCTGGAAATACAAACTACCAACTATATGTTAAGAGAAAAAAAACAAAGTGTTCTGTTTGGGTTTATAGAGAGGAAGTGTCTCTAATGCCTCAGTTCTTCAAGTCCTGTGGAAAAGCATTAGCTGTACATAGGAACACAGTTCCTTTTGTGTTTGTTTAAACCTACAAGAGGAAAAACAAATGATTCTTGGCAGTCTGACTAGTAAGCAAGCAGAGTATGTTTCATCTTATCTAATAGATGTGGAGCTCCTTGTTCTTCCTTTTTTTTCTTTTTTTGGAGACAGAGTCTTGGTCTTGTCACCGAGGCTAGAGTACAATGGCGCGATCTCGGCTGACTACAACCTCTGCGTATTGGGTTCAACTGATTCTCCTACCTCAGCCTCCCAAGTAGCTGGGATTACAGGCTCCTGCCACCACACCCAGCTAATTTTTGTATTTTTAGTGGAGACGGGGTTTTA